GGGAGGGAGGAGTAGGAGAGGAGGAGGAGAGGAGGAGGAGGAGGAGGAGGGGAGGGGGAGGAGGAGGAGGAGGACGAGAATGTGATGATGGAGGAGGGGGAGGAGGCGGAAAGTCTGGAGAACCATGATGCTGAGGGTATTGATGGTGGTAGTGATGATGGTTGTGGTAGTGGAAAAGGATGACGAGGACGAGGTAGTGGAAGCGGAGGACGAGGACGATGACGAGGACGAGGAGGAATGTGAGGAGGAGGGGGAGGAGGAGGAGGAGGAGGGGGAGGATGAGGAGGAGGAAGAGGAGGAGGAGGAGGAGGAGAAGGAGGAGGAGGAGGAGGAGGGAGGAGAGGAGAAAGGAGGAGGAACTCCTCTCCGCCTCTCCCTCCCTCTTATCCTCGTCCCGCCCTCCTCTCCCCCCACTCCTCCCTCCCTCTCGCCTCTCTCTCGCCCCTCTTCTGCTTCTCCGCCCCTCTTCCCCCCCCCCCCTCCCTCTCCCCCCTCGCCCTCCTCCCCCTCCACCTCCCGCTCCCCCTGCCCCTCCCCCTCGCCCTTCTGGCCCCCTCTCCTTTCCTTTCTCCCTCTTCCCTTCTTCCCCTCCACCTCCCACTCCTCTCTGTCCCGCCCCCCGGCCCAACTCCGCCTCCCCCTTGCCCTGCCACCCCGTGTGCCTCGGCCTCCAGAGGCCGCCAGAGGCTCATAGCTGCCGCAGACCGCCCCGACCCCGCGATCGGAAGTCGACGATCGAGGTGGAGCACCCCGGCCGCCCCCACTCCTCTGTCCAGAGGCCCCCTGCAGTTTTTAAACCTCTGTTTATATCTGCTTATTTCCAAGATGTTTGCCAGCCGCGTGTGTCACCAATCTCTCCCCTTTGACGACACGCTTGATGAGCGTGGCCCAACGCGTGAGCGTGGCCGTCGAGCGCCGGTTTGCAAGACCAGGGCTCTCCCCCCCCGCTGCAAAAATCTGTGGTTCGAGGCAGGCAGCGCAAATAGGTCAAACCGAAAGTGCTCTGCAGGTAGCTCCGGCGCGCCGCAGGAACGCGACACTTTCGGCGGCGTTTGCGTTCACAGGTGCATTATTCTGCGGGGCCCCCCCCTGGGGGGCGAACGCAACGGCGGTCGGCCGGTCTCCCTTGGGCCGTGCAGGCTGGCCCAGATCCGGGGGCCCGGTGGGGCGGACCTCCCCGCCCGCCCCTCCGCTGGCCCGGGGTTGGCGGGTGCTGTGCGGCCTGCCAGGGTTCACGGCGTGGCCTTGGCTGGCCCAGTCAGCGCTGACCAAGGTCGTCTTCGTCGCCATCACCATCGTCACCATCGTCATCATCGTCGTCATCATCATCATTACCATCACCATCATGATCATGCTCATCGTCATCGTCATCATGATCATCATCATGATCATCATCATCATCATGATCATCAGCATCATCATCATGATCATCAGCATCATAAGCATCCATAGCATCATCACTATCATAATCATCGCTATCACCATCACTATCACCGTCACCATCGCCATCACCATCACCACTTCCACCATCACCATCACCTGCAGCATCATCGCTATCATCACCATCATCATCATCATCATCAGCAGCAGCAGCATCATCATCATCGCCATCATCATCCTTCTCATCATCCTCATCCTCCTCATCATCGTCATCATCGTCATCATCGTCATCATCGTCATCATGACCAGATGTGATTTGCAGTGTCCCAGGGGGATCCGATCACCCCCAGGGGGGCGGGGGAGGGTCGTGGAGCCTACCCTCCCCCTTGGCGAGGAGAATCCGTGTGAGGCGGCGGCGAGGCGACGACGGGCGCCCGCCGAGCGAACGCCGAGAAGCGGCAGCCAGCGCGCGAGGCGGCGATCGAGGCCACGACGGGCGCCCACCGCGCGGGAACCCCGAGGTGCCAGGCAGCGCGCGAGGCCGCGGCGAGGGCTGCCACGGGGCGGCCACGGGATCCCACCGCGCCCAAGCCCGTACAGTGGGGGCCCTGAAGAAGGAACTCTTGTCGTTGGGGAGGGGCTCCGCGTTCCTTAAGTGTTTCACAGCTTGCCTCAGGTTTTCCTTATGTTTTCGATAGGAAATCGGAGTTTAACTTATGGAAAAAAGGGGCCTCGTTCCTTATTTTGGGTTCCTTAGGTCAAGGCCCCGACTGTATCCCAGAAGCGAAGCAGCAGCTCGAGAGCGCATGCGCTGCTGCTGGTGCAGCTCGAGAGGGAAGGCGGCCTGAACATGCGCTTCCTGGATCCGTGCGGTTTTCTCGGGTCGGCGCTGGCGGCGCCTCCTGCGCCGCCCCTGGCCCGAATCGCGCGCCAGGGGAGGGAGGTTCAGCGCTGACAGGAGATATCTGCGGGGATCTCCGACAGTTTCGGTTTGTGTAGGTGTTCCTTCTTCTGCGCATTCTTTCCTTCTCGGCCCAATGTCACGCAACCGTGTCTTGCGTCCTTATCCTCACGGTCGACTGCAAGAGAGCAAGAGAGGTGACGCCGGATCATTCGTTGCGATCTGTCCCCATGATTGGCTGGACGCTGTGTGAGGTCGTGTACCGAGCCCGCCTCCACGTCACAGGGCCGGAGACTCATCAAGCCATCTCGATGGAGAGCGCCTCGACTCAGGCCATGGCCCTCCTCCTTGCCTTCGAGCTCCTCTTCACCCCCACAACCTCGTCGTCGTCGTCGTCGTCGTCGTCGTGTTTGTCCTCGTCCTCCTTCAGGTCACAGCTGTGGATCCCGCGGGCGCTAACTGGCTGGCCGCCGAGAGTGAAGCAGGTAGGCAAGCGCCTCTTGGAGGCGTACGATGTCGGCGACGTGCTCGGCGAGGGTGCGTTCGGCGTGGTGTACGCTGCAGTTCATAAGGAGACTGGCACGGAGGTCGCAATCAAAATGGTCGACAAGGTCGAGACGCCGATCTCCCAGATCAGAAGAGAGATGGAGATCCTGATGGCCGCGCAGCACGAGGGCACCGTGAAGTTCCACGGGGTGGTCTTTGAGACATGCTTCGTGTGCTTCGTGATGGACAAGTACTCGGGGGGGAACCTCATGACGGGACTGCGCTCCCGCCTGGAGCAGAAGGGCAAAATCGGCTGCCTCTCACTGGTTCACATCTGCGCCCAGATGACAAGCTCCGTGTGCTATATCCACGGGCTGAGCATCGTACACAGAGACATCAAGAGCGACAACTACCTCAAGGACAGGGCTGACATCTGCGACCCCCAGTGCCGCATCGCGCTCACGGACTTCGGGTCCTCCTCGCACGTGAACCCTGGAACGAGGCTCAGCGCCCAGGCCTGGGAGCAGCAAAGGTACCCGCCCACCCTCGGCCGAGAGTTGATGATCGAATATCGGGGCAAGAGGATCCATCTCCGATTGCGGATGGCGTTTTTAGTGTGGCTTGTGCTTTTCATCTTCGTTTGGCGATTTTGACACCGGGGGTGCCCTGGGGGTGCCCTCGTCGCCACGGGGGGGTTCTCCTCGATGTTCTTACCACCGCGCATCCCGGAGGGGTCCTGGGATCGACTTTGAAGAAAAGGACCCAAACTTTTGCCGACTCGAGCAAGTCGCGCGGGAGTCAGTGCTTGAATGTTTCGGCGTCAGGGGAGCCGACCCCCGGCCCCGAGACTGTTCTCCCCAAAACGGCTCAGGATGAGAAGCTTGCCCCTCTGGGGCGGGTCGAGTTGTTCCAGGGGCCGGCGACTCGAGCAACTCGTGGGCCTCGGAGGTCCGGGTCCCCGGGAAGCTTCCCGGGAGGCCTCCCGGAGGCCTCCCAGAGGCCTCCTTGGATGCCCCTGGAGGCCGCCAGGGGCCTCCAGAGGTCCAGACATGGCCGGAAGCATCGGCAGCCCTCGCCTCCCCCCACCAGCGCCCCGTCTCCCCCCTGCTCCCCCCCGGAGCCCAGAGGAGTGCCTCGAGGTCGACCGCCCCACCTGTCTTGGGCCGCGTTCCGAGCAGGACTTCGAGACGGATCCAGCCGTGGCGACCAGGGCCATCCCCCGGGAGGTCCAAGAAGGGCGAATAATCCTCCTCCTCCTCCTCCTCCTCCTCCTCCTCCTCCTCCTTCCTTCCTTTCTCCTCCCCCCTCTGGGGTGGTGGGGTGGCTGTGCCTTTCCACGCCTCCGACGCATTTCATCCCGCGGGCCCCAGTGGTCTTAATCCGCTTCTCGTGGACAGGCTTACGCCCCAGATAAGTTTTGGATTGTCTTGGGTCCCGAAGGTGGCCTCCAAAGGCCGAAAACGAGCGGGAGCGCCGGGGTTGAACCAAGACATCCTCCAGTGGTCTGGGTCTGGCGATGCGTAAGGGTGCCCTTTCGCTGGGGTGACCTTGTTGGTGCTGGGTCACACAGGAAGCTCCCCTCCAGCACTCCCGATGGCGCCTGGAGGGTTGCCTTTGAGGGGGTGTCATGCCCAAAAGCGGCGCATGAGAAGGACCCCTTGTCGCCATGAAGGGAAGGTGTCCTGAGGGAAACGGGTCCTAGGCTCCAGAGCTTTCCGTAGACAAGTTGTCAATCCTGATTTTTGTCTTGCAGTCTCGGGGCACGTGGAAGGCCACCGGGCACTGAAAACGGCGAACATCTTCCAGGACCGCTTTTACTCAGGTCCTGCTTCCTTCATGCCAGCCTTGGTAAAAGTCACCCTTGCGTGGAGCCGATGGCTTTCTTGCCTCCCGCAGGTGGGCACCCGCAGGTACTGGGCACCAGAGATCTTCCGGAAGAGCTACGGCCCGAAGGCAGACTTCTTGTCTATGTGCGTCGTCTGCTGCTCTTGCTCGTTGCCGTCGTCGTCGTCGTCGCCGAGGGTCGAGGATGCATGTGCAGGTGCCCAGTGTTATGGCGTACATGTGTCGCTAAAGGGTCTGGCTTCTATGTTACCTTCACAGTGCTCCAATGCTGCGATTTCATTGGCGTGGCAGACAAGGCCTCCTTCCACCACCCTCACCCTCAGGTGGACGTCTGGGCAATGGGCGTCACGATGTACTCTCTTTTGGATGGCTTCTTCCCGTTCAGGAA